AGAAAAAGATAAAAAAAGGTAGTTCATTATTATAGTTAGGACACAGTTTCACAGAGAAAACAGATTTGTTTTATTTTTTAAGTATTAGAATACATTAACAATGAAACTGTTGCCACCTGTTCAGAGAAAAAAAAAAGAAGTGAAAAAACTTTTGTGAGCTTTGCTTTCTAGCTCTTAGATCCCCAGATAACACTCTATTTTGATCTATAACATTTTAAACAGCCATGATAAAAGTCCTTTGAAAGGCAGATTTGAATAAGAAACAACTGATTCAGAGAACACTGATTAAAGTCAAGAGTTAATAGTTTAATGCAGCTGGCTTGGGGATTCACACAGGCACATAAGCAAGAATTCAGTATTATGGCAAAGAAAACTGGATGTTTCTGAAAAATTCTAACAGAAAGTGACAAAGTTATACTGCAGTTTGTCTGACTCCCTAATTAGCTGTAAAATACTCAGTTTGGGGTCAATTTGAATTTTACCTGCTTTAATCAACAGAGACTTAAAATAATTTTAAGCTTTCCTACCTAATGTAAATTCCCATAAGGAATCTTTGTGGAGAAATGTAGTGGGCCAGGCTGTAAGTAGTGAATTGACTTAAGATAACTGAGAGACCACACTGGGAACCGAAAAGGTGCATACAAATATAGCTACCAAAATGTTAGGACATTTAGATGTTAGGAAAATCATATTTTAATAAGAAAAACAGTTCAAAAATGTATAAACTGTCTCCTTAGAACTGACAGAGAAAAATGAGCCCTAGGTGAAATTAAAAAAAATTACGAAAAGGCTGTTTTACACTGTTGATCAAATTCTGCCAGTCTCAAGGCCTCAGTTCAGCAAAGCACTTAAGTTCATGCATAACTTTAACCATGTGCATAAGTCCATTGCTATTCAGCCAAGCAAAAAAGACTTTAACTCCCATTGAAGCCAATTGAATTCAACACATGCTTAAGTACTTTGCTAACTCAGGGGCCGAGTGAACTTTCTGGCCATAGAGGCATGAAGAAGGATCTGGAATAACCAAGAGTTTAAATACGATCAATTACAAAAGAGCTAATTTCTGGCATATTATAGGACCTATTAAAACAGCACTGCATAAAGAGAACTTTAACTATGAAATAGAATTAGACAAAATCGTGACAGGGTGGTCTGCCTCATCAAGGGGAGGGAACCTTGGGCCAGCCAGCCTGGTTCTGATGTGCAGTCACTTTCAGAACAGGTTTGAACTGAACTGAAAAATAAAATAAAAATTGCTTTAACCAAATTGGAATTGTTGTTTTTGTTGTTTTTTCTCTCACGGAAACAAACAAGTCATTACTAAACTGTTTTGTAATTTGAGGAGGAGGGTCTATTTTGTTCCTGATTAACTGAATTTCTAAACAAAAATACCATTTCAAACCAAAAAGTTGAAACATTTCATCTCAACAGCAATTTTTCAGCCAAAAATCTACTCACCAAATTTGCAAATAGTTTTGATGCCCTGAAAAATGCTTTTTTTCAGTGGATTTATTATTCACTGAAAATATTTCACCCAGTGCTAATGTCAAATTGTTTTATTTTGGGGTTTGCTAAAGACTGTCAGTGCAACCATTAATTGGTGACCTGAATAAGGGCATGGACAGATTCTGTGTGTGGTGTTTAATCCTTCCTGGTTTGGGGCAACAGGCAAATAGCCCTATATGTGGTGGAGAACATGGGAAGGCAATTGGCCCTTTGCGCTGAGGGAAAACTAAAGAAGCTAACCTTCTTAACAGGTCTGTATATACTTTAAAGAAGTTAAAAAAGAAGAAATCCTACACAAGACAATCCTCGAGACTGAAAGCAATTGCTTAAAACTATCTTTTGGGACCTTTACAAGATAGGGCTGCTCTTGGGTGGTTTCATACCTTTTTACTTTCACCAGGGTTTGTGGCCAAATCAGTAATACACTCTGATCAGTGCTATCCAAAATAGCTAACTGATATAACAAAAGGAGCATCAAAACATTTTCTTCATCTGTTACCAAAAAGGGGATGTATACAACAGGTGCTGTCACTGGGGTACACCTAAATGTTAATTATTTAGACACGTCCATACAACCTCTTTTATGGATACAAGGAACATGACCTCCATAAGGGAGGTATTAACACTCTGCACCAACAATGGACCAGGTTCTTTCACCAGCCCAAGATGATGTAGGTCCAAGGTGCAGATTGTGGCCTGAAGTATTGCCAATATCTCTAGGACTTCTGTGAATGTCTTTGGTTTATAGCAGGGGTCAGCAACCTTTGGCACGTGGGTCACCAGGGTAAGCACCCTGGCATGCTGGGCCGGTTTGTTTACCTGCCGCGTCCGCTGGTTCAGCCGATCACGGCTCCCACTGGCCGCGGTTCGCCGCTCCAGGCCAATGGGGGTGGTGGGAAGTGGCAGCCAGCACATCCCTCGGCCCGCGCCGCTTCCCG